ATACTAGGGGAGGGGGAGGGTTTTATTTTTGAGTAAGAGTTTTAGGGCACTTGCGACACAATAAGGTCATATAAGTGCAGAAGATTAGAGGTGTTAGGAGCAGAGATAAGTACGATAGATGTTTGATGGAAAAGAAGGAGCAAACCACACTAGAGCACCCGCCAACCACCCAGCGGGAGGGAGGGTGAGGGGAAGAAAAAGAGTAAAACAGAGAAGGGGGAGGGGGGGGGAGGGAGAGATAGAGAGAGGCTGAGAGAAAAGAGAGGCTGAAAGAAAGAGAAACTGAGAGAGAGTGACTGAGAGGAAGAGAAGGGAGAGACAGACAAAGAGAGAGACAAAGAGAGAGACAAAGAGAAAGAGAAAGACAAACAGAGACATCAGTGCTATATATGTGAGGCAGCGTGGTGGAATCAGGCTCTTGTCAAAATAATCAAAGTGAAGAAATGTGCATTTTTCCGTAGGTTTGTGAATTTTTATAAAATTTTTGGTTTTTGGCTCAACACCTTTCATGCCCATTAATGAACTCATTTCTGTGTGGACTTTCCTGAAAAACGTTGATTAAAGGCACAAAAAATGTAAATTTTCAGTCACCACGAACTCTAAAGCTAAAGAAATAACTAATCTTTGGCTTCCATTTTCTTACTAATTTTATCTCTGAAAACAAGTGACCCCCTCCTAATTCATTCGCAAATATCTCGACTTGTATTCAAGATAAATGGATATTTTTTTTCATTCAAATAAAGACAAGTGAACAAGCTTTAAGATGACACCAATAACTCTACATGCCCAAAAATTGACGAGTGCCTGATTCCACCACGCTGCCTCACATATTCATATTTTGAGTCAAAGCCTATTTCATTTTGCGTGCAGTCTTCCTGTTGCTGTTTGGTTTTGTTTGAGGATTTATTTTCTACGAGATGATGCTTACTATAAAAGCACAGAGCTGTTAGGTTTTTTTTTAGAAGAGGTTTTTCGGCGCTCGCAACTGCATAAGGTTATATGAGCACCAGAAGATTAGAGGTGTTACAAGAGAGTAACAAACATAAAAAAGAAGAAGGGGAGATGAGGACGATAGATGTTTGATAGGAAAGAAAAACAGAGCTGTTAGACACACAAAAATAAGTACAATATTCTCTTAGTCTTGCATTGAATCAGCTTGTTCTTGTTCTTCTTGTTTCAGGAAGCAACATCCCTACACTCCGGACATGTCCATTGATGCACCGTTGCTCTCTCCAAAATGTCGCCGAGGGTCCTTCTACTGATTGCGCCAGTGCACATCTGGTTGAACGTTCTTCTGTTCTTTCCTGCAAGGATGCCAGATTTTCCGCTTCCTTTTTTTATTCCCAAAAGCATCATCCTCTCCACGGCAGTACTGGCCTCTGCCACCCTATCTTCCTCCTCAATCAGCTGGCGATAGAGACATTTCAGGATCTCTACCCTATCTGGTTGAACCGTATTGTCAACTAAGGTGGCCTCACCAGCTCATCTGTCGGCCCTTTCATTTCCTCTAACACCGGCATTGAATCAGCAACATCACTCAACCCACAGAGTCCATCCTTTCCAACAAAACCCTTTGTGCACTCAGACTCCTGCGTTTAACACATGCCAAGGTAAATAAAGTAGCCCTCACCAGTCAGCTTGTCTCTAGCCACCACAGACACCTGGTTGGGCATGGGGATCTTGTGCTGAATGAACGACCTGGCTCTGTTCTGCTTTTCTCGCTCCGCTTCCTCCAGAGGCTGAAAAATACAAACATGTTCTTTGCATCTGGGCTTTTGTTTTAGTTAAAGAGTTTCTCCGCACTTACAACACAACTACGGTATACAGGTGCTGAAGATTGGGGCTTTTTTTTGTTTTAGTAGAGGTTTTACGGCGCTCGCAACTGTGTAAGGTCATATGAGCGCAAGAAGATTAGAGTTGTTACAAGAAAGTAACAAACATAAAATAGAAGGAGGGGAGATAAGGGAGATAAATGTTTGATAGGAAAGAAGGAGCAAACCACACCAGAGCACCCGCCAACCACCCACAGGTTCTGAAGGTTTTGTAAAGTGTTTTACGGCGCTCGCAACTGCTGTTCTGAAGATTACAGGCGATATTAAAGAGTAAAAACACAAAAAACAGAGAGGTAAGAATGACAGATGTTTGATAGGAAAGAATGAGTGCACTGCATCAGAGCTCCCACCAACCATCCAGTTTTAACATCTGAATCCACAATGATGGATACACTAAAAGTGAAACAAAAAAATGGATCTATATTGTCCCCGTCTATTACAGACTGCTAGAGACAAAGATGTGGTCTTTGACATTTTAGGTGACCCAACAATGTTAAACGTGGTCACTTTCCGTCACTCAATTTAAAAAAACCTTCACAACCAAGATAAAAATAATGGAATGGACAACCTCAATCCAAACAAAACAGTTACTTCCTGGAAAATGTCTCGTGTAACGCGCGGGGAATTAAGTCATCAACTCTGATGTCACAGCCCTCTCTCAACAATTGTCACTAAAATAAACAAGTCAGAACAATGAAAGTTGGAATTTAATAAAAAGAAAAACTCAAAGACATTGAATTATTTCAATCAGCAATAGACCCCCCCCACACACACACAAGCAAAATGCACATCCCTGCCTCCTATAGACAGTAAGAAATGATAAGAAACAAAAATCCGTGGCTCACCACTTGTCTGTACATGCCGAGTGTGGCCTCGTGGGTGAACACGCTCACAGCCTCCTCCGTGAAGCCGATCTCTCGAGACAGCATAAACAGACACCTGGGGGGGGGGGGGGGGGGGGGAAGGGAAAAAATTTTTAAAAAGGGGAAAAGGGTCCAAAAATAGAGGGGGGAATCCTTGGGAATTTAAAAAAGTTTT